CATAGTCCCTGATATGCAACAATTGAAGGAGTCCCCATAATTATGGTCCCACCAACACTAAAAGATCAATCAGCTACAAGTTAAGTAAAGAAACACTTAAACAAGTGTAAACAAGCCCAACAAAAATGCAACACAAATAAAAAAACTATTTCAAAATATCTCTAACGGGAAGAAAAAAAAAATAAAGAGCCAAAGTCTGCTACATGTTTAAGCTGTTTCAATCAAGGAAATTTCAAAAAACACACACAAACAAGGAAGAAAGGAACAAGATAACACAAAGTCCAAAACCCTAAACAACAAAGCATAAAGGTGCAGATCAATTCCAACCTATATATTACGCAACATTAATATTCTGCATATCGTCTTTGTTTGGAGAAGTCAATACCCGAACCTCTTAATCCTTGCAAAATTTGGGAAATGCTTAGGCAGCTTATATGCTCCAAACACAAACACCATAGTCAAAGGAAGAAGTAGGGTGCGCTCTTGACTTCTTTCTATCTCCTATATAGCTGAGAATTTCCATCACCTTCCTTTCTTTTTCTGTTATTTTTCCCTTCTGTTCACTGCAACCAGGTGGAAGGAAAGTCAATCAGTTGATAGCAATCCAACAAACCCAAATTTAAACCGTGAAGAAAGAAGCAGATTATCATGAAGACGCTTGTTTTCCTTCCATCTCTTTTATACTAATAATGCTTCTTGAACCCGATTTATGTACACAATTAGCTACTTGTCGGATTGACAATGCACCTATCATATATTAAAATCAAAAATAATAAAACGTTGCATAAGTAAGAAGCAATACACTCCTTTTACACTTCTTTAGAGAATAATATCGAAGAAATTTAATCGTATTTAAACAATGGGAGAAGCACAATAACCAGAATCAACAAGCGCAAATGCCTCGACTTTAGAAGCTAAGAAAAATGTAACTAATTAATATAATCTTCTATTCATTTACTAGCCAATAATTCACAAAGAAGTCCTCTAAAATATCCTCAAATTGAAATTAACTTGAAATTTTTCTCAAGATGATAAATATGAGAACAAGCTTAGAGTTATTAGATATAGTTAATAGCACTATTAGTCCCCTAAAGTATTTATATTTTATCAGTTTAGTTTTTAAAGTATTCAATTCGTGTTTAAATGATTCTTATATAGACTAACTGTTAAGTTTTTGATGAAATGATCACGTGTTGAGCACGTGGTACCATCTAAAAAATAACATGTGATCACTTCCATTGAAAAAACTTGACAGTTCGCCAATATAGGAACCAAAGTGACACAAATTAAATACTTTACATGTATTTTTTAGAAAGTAAAATTCTATTGATCACAGAGGGATAAACCCAAGCTTTACATGTATGCTAAAAACATAGTAACAAAAGGAAAAAACCTAGCTTTACAGCATAGAACTTGAGAGACCTAGCTTGGCTTTACATCATGAATAGATCTAACATGTTCATCAACAAATAACATTCTTCAATATAAAGCTAAAAAACAAATAAACTTACACACATTTTAGGCTTTTAGTTCATGCAGCCTCGCCTGCCACTGAAGCCTTAATCCTTTCAACTGTGCAAGTAATGAGATTATTAACTGTAGCAACAGATCCAAGAGAGAGTTTTGCTGTAGGAACCGAATCGACCAATATCTGAAATGCAACTGTGAGTAGAGATCCACCAGAGCCAGCATCACCAACGCCACCACCTTGCGATAGAGGTCCGTCCGGGAGTATAGCAAATCCAGAGGGAAGAAGGGCCACATAATCAGGGTCACCACCACTTAGTAACACGTTCATGGCAGCAATATCGACAGGTGCATAGATGACAAATGAAGCTGTTGGATCGATGAAACTTTCTTGTAAGATCAGCATGTTGCTTTGATTGGAATTTGTACTCTGAATTTTTGTTGGCTAGTTAGTTCAATGACTAAATACTTGTTTAGAGTACAAGATCATTCTCTTGAAAAATGAGAAAGATAATCTTAAACTTACGCTTACTCGCAGTAATGACACACAATTGCCAGTTTCACGGCCATTCGCAATATGTGCCATTTCTTGAACAGCCCCTCCGTTAGAAAGAATGTCCCACTGTGATTGCGAGACATTCAGCCATCAGATATGTATTGACTACTCAGGAAGAATTTCAACAATACTTATGTACTTATACATGATGAACTAATTCACAGTATGTTGATGGCCCTTTCAGTTATTTCTACTGCGGACGTGGGATGAACTCGTACATGAACCACCATAGCAATTACACTATAATTTGTATTCATTGTTAAACTATAAGAATTTAGTTCCAAACCTCCTGTATTCCACGTTGAGATTTTGTAAAAAGGCATGCTTGGGCACAAGCTCAATTTCTTCGATTAGGCTACCACCCGGGGCTTGGTTTAGCTGAGGATTGGATTCGCTACCCGATTAGTTTTCCTACGCTATTAGGCACTTTTGGTCTAGTCTCAATTTGTGAGAGTAATTTCTTATGTAGACTATGTCATTGGCTTCAATCATTTTACCTTCTTGAGCACACTTGTTCCTTTGGTGTTTTTTGCTTCATTAACTGTTTAGCTTCCCAAAAAACGAGTCATGTGATTATGTTATAATTCATCAATTCAATACCACAACTATTTTCTGATCCAGATAGTTCAAATAACTTGCATTTAAATACCTCACATCGAGTGTTCTCATCCCTGAGGAAATCAAACACCCTGTATGGTGGAACCGGAAGCCAGAAAGAAGTTGCAGCACTTAGCACAATACCAGGAGGTCTGCCTGGATCATCTACACTCTTCCGTGTCATGACCCTCACATCATCAGCTCCACTTCCAGATAGCGTCGTCCATGTGTGAGCAGTAGAGGCGCTCACTCCAGCTGAAAAGCTTATGACCATTCTCTCAGCCAGCTTCAAAATACTCTTTCTACCTTCTAGACTTGTGATCACTATACAGGAACAAATGAAAAACATTAATTGAATAGATAGCATTTTAAAACCTAACTGTCTTGAGATTGTCAAGATGCGGGTTTACTTAAACCATAATTCTTATCACTGCACAGGTACAAATAAAGAACAATAATAACATCAACTAAATTACATTTAGACGAAATCTCAGTTGACTGAGACTCGGATACTGCAAGCAATTCATAAAACATGATTCTTAATGAAAGGAAAATTGTAATCGGGCATACTGTTCATGTCATTGGCAGGAACATTTGTTGCCATGGCACTTGCAAGGCGTTCGCATTGACGATCAAGAGCAGTGACCCAACGTTTTGCACCAAAAGCAAGGCCAGAATTAACTAGGGGCTTGTATATATTATGAACTCCTCTGTCATCCACTTCAACATGCTCAACCCATGTAACCTAAACCATAGAAATCATCATAATAATGCAATCAAATTACTAGATTTAGCAGTATTGAGTAACCATGGAGTCATAAAGATATTTATTCAGTACCCTTGAGTATCCATTCGGCATTTCATGGATCAAGCATCCAGATGGCCTGCGCCGACATCTCACTAATGGACTGGGGCGTATATTGTCCAGAGAAACATCAACCACTGCCCAAGTCCCCTCACCATGTTGCTTACAATACCTTACAAAGTAGCTTTCACGAGTTGGAACGAGTGGTGAAGGGACTTGAAATTCTGCAGTAATCTGAAAGAAAAATAAATAAATAATGAATGTACATTAAGAATGATATTGTGAATATATAAATCTTTTAGCTTTATCTGTTAGACTAGGTTGTGAAGAGTTTTTGTCTGATGAGATTTGATATGTGTGGCCCCTTCCGACTTGTTTTGAGTTTCGTTGTAATATTTGTAATTTCTTATACAATTTTAATTTGAAGCTCAACCATACCACTTGTAAGGCTCCATTGCAGTTCCCAGCAACCCCAGTTGATAGGACTTCCAGTGTCATGGCTCTGGAGACTATTCCAGAAAACACAGTCGACCACTGATTCTGTTTATCACATTCACAGCCGGTAGAGGAAACTGATTCTGTTAGCAATATGAACTTAAAGAACATTTATTGCTAGTGAATTGAATAACAAACCTACCACATCCATGAGAATCTCAACGAGACTAAGGTGGTTCATAATCACAACAGCAGTTTCTCGAGATGCTTCACATTTAAACCCGATAGGAGTCGGTCCAATGCCTCTAGGAAATGTCCTTATATATTCTTCTTCATTTAGCAAACTGTTGGTGCCATCAATGCCTTGCAACCACAATGGCTCCCCCACCTGTGCCATTCTTATCAGTTCCTCCATGGCTGCAACTGCAAGCTCAATTATCATTGGCTTATCAGCCTCAGAAGGTCCACTGATTGACCTGAGTAGGTCTCCTGCTCCATACAATATGTCCCCTCCAATCCCAGGTTGGCCCCCAAACGGACCAACACCAAGATCAAGTGAACGAGGAGTCATGGGAGGTGAAATAATGGGGTAGTTCACCACAGGCTTGCCCACATACTTTGCAGCTATTCCTGAAATCCGATCAATCTAAAACCAAACAAATAAAACTTGCAATATCAACTGTTTTACTACTATAAAACATCATCATATGTAGCTGGTACTTAGATGGATATGGCTATGGTACTGAATAGAAATTTTTTAGCATCTTACCAAAATTTATCCGAATAAACATGATGTTACGACCCAATAAGGTTAGTTTAACACGAATAATTAAACGTGTTTATTTGCAATTTTTGGTAAGATACCAAAATCAGTACCATAGTTTTACTTGTCATCAGATACAACAAAATATGGAAAAATACCCACGATACCTCTTCTCTTAAACGAGCATTTTCCAACCTCAGATGATGTTCATCGAATGACATCTCTCCTATAGCAGTTGGACCTCCACAATTAGGACAAGAGGCGTTGCTAAGAGCTTCTCTATATCTCATGTTGTCTACGCGAAGCTTTTCATTCTCAGTTCGAAGCTGTGTGTTTTCATGCCGCTCATGTTGGGTCTGCGAATAATTTTGTTAGTCCCGCAAAATAAAAATACACAATAAAATTCAAAACACACCCACGTATCAGCTTGACTCCAAAAATGCAACCCAAATGCCACACACGAGTCCCCAAAGGACTAATGTGAACGCAGATACTCACAAAAGTCTAAACTCTAAATCTCTGTAACGGTTCCTTCGATAAAGCCAAGGCACAAGAATCCAAAACAAAAATTTGGGATGTATTGCACTAGATCAATGCTATTAGGAACTAATATATATATATTTTTTTCAATGATGAGGGGTGTCTACGCTAGTTTATACGCACCTTAATGATCTATTTTCTGGTCCAGTCAATAGTAAATTATTCACATCGAAATTAGGATATTTGTGAGGAATAAATCAGTCATAATTTTGTCCCAAAATTCAAACTCAAAACATCCAGATTATAGATCGTCTCTGTTACTACTTGAACTATCCTACTTAATTTAATATTATAGTCTTTAAATTGACCGTAAGTCCACTAAATATTAGAACTTAATATTCATCCAACCATTAAAATAAAATCACAACATTAAATTAAATCAAATTTTAAAATCTCAATAGAATTCTTCCTCAAACTAACTTGTCTAAGTCTAGACAAGCACATAGCCTAAATAATGGGAATGCAAAAGCTGTCTTACCTTCATTTGGGTACGCTTATTTTGGAACCAAAACTTGATTTGCAAAGGTTCCAACCCTAGGTCACGGCTCAGTTCCTTCCTTTGCTTGTCGTCTGGGTGTGGACACTCCTTGAAGAAACTAATAAGACCAAGCCAACAAAAGAAAAAATAATGCAGACAAAAAAAACCAATTAAAAATACAACCACTAAAATAAATTCAATTTTCGAGAGTTAACTAAAACAAAATAATGTGATAGAAATACTATAGGATCCATCGAGATCTTTAAGAATGTGCTAAGAGCTTACGCTTCCATTTCTTGTATCTGATGTTGAGTGTGGCGATGGTAGCGCTTTTTCTTTGGCCTCTGATTAGGGTCTTGATCTTCGCCGGAGGCACCGTCATTGTTTTCACTGCCGGACTTGCTTTCGAAATCATCGTCTCTCAACCTAGCCATATCGCCTTCAGATGTGTTTTGACCCATATCCAAAAGGTGAAGCTGGCCGTCCATTATATTTTGCTGGAACATGTCTAGAGATCTTTAAGATAATGAAGCTTACTGATTTTCAATCTAAAAAGTAAGGAATACAATGAAAATGAAAACTAAAAAAAAAAAAAAAATGCTTGTCCTACATAGAAAACTTGAACTGATATGGAAGGAGAGAAAAACATAACCCTATCATAGCCAGACATAAAAACCGACTACAATTTTGCCAAGTATAATGGTCTATATATGTTTTCAAAGAAAACCCATGTTGAAAATGTAAGAAATGAGTATGAAGCAGTTGACCAGGATTTATAGTGCAGAAATCTCTCTCTCTCTCTCTCTCTCTCTCTCTCTCTCTCTCTCTGTGCTCTGTAGATAGAAGACCGTGTGCGTTTTTCGAATTTCGAGATGGATTTTAATTGAAAAGGTAAATGACTTTTGCTAAGAACAATTCATTAATCTAAGAAACCATTTAGCAAGTGAAATAAAAAGAGAACTATGCCTTGTATGATGTCATAAAAGAAGAGAGTTAGTAAAGTGAATAATTTCAGAATTTAGACGAAAAAAATTTGATTAGAAAAAGTGTGAACCCATGAATTCGCAAGTACCAAAAATTCAGAGAAAATTAGAAAAAAAAAATAAGCCTGCAAAACCCACGTTAGATCAGAAGAAAACGAGTGATTATCGAGGATGTGAAGAGTTTTCAAGGGTTGACCTGACCAAGAGTAAGCCCAGAAGAAGATCCATATCCACCAACATTCCCGTTAACTCCTATCATCGGCGAGGTCTGTCTCGCCGGAATCATTATTCCAGCGGGCATATTAACTCCCTGGAAACCCTAAACAATTCACATATATGTGAGAGAATAAATATACATAATTTTATTTATATGTATGTATAGATATGCATGTCTGTCTATGTCACTCTGCTTGTGCTAGTGGTCCATTTGTTTTTTCTGTCCTCATTTGAATGGTGATGATAGAGTTAAAGACTATTTGAGGGAGCAAATTGAATTAGATTTAGCAAAACCAACAGGCAGAGCTGACTCTGAGTTTTTGCCTTTAAAATGGGAGTCTCTCAGGTCTACCTGATCTTTTTTTGGGTTTTCCACAGGAAAGAGAATAAAAAAAAAAACACCAGGCTGGGTTGACAAAGCTTGTTACGGCCTTTGATAGACATGATTACCAGACACAAGAACAAATGAGAAACATTAACCACGAAGATCCAGGAGCGTCCAACAAAACCTCTGCCGCTCTCTCTCTCCCCGAGTGTCTCCCCAAGATACAAACGGAAATATAATCGGACATGTATAACAACATAACAAACACCACAAGAGATCACAAATTGTTGTTTCTAAAATGTTGTAAGAAAGAGAAAGTAAAGCTGAACTGTATCTACAGGTACTTGTAGTCAAGAACCTGAACAGCACAAGAATGTCAAGAGAGGCCTTGCAAACCTCTTGGAACAAACTTTGGAAGGGGAGGGGTCTCAGATCTGTTTAGGACTCTCTTGTTGACAGCGCAAATGTGTGTCTGAACAAGCGAATTTGGTTGGTTTATATGGAGAGGTTGGTCGAGAAAATGCCAATGTTTGCAGATAGAGAGATGACGATGAGAGAGAAAGTGACACAGGGAAAGTGAACAGGCCGAAGGAGATAAGAAGAATGAGAGAAAAAGAGGAGAGTGGGGAAAAGGAAGGAGAAAGAGGGAAACATAAGGAGAAAAATGTGGCAGCGAGGAGTAATTGCAAGGTGTATAGAGATGGTGCAATTGCATTAAATGGAGAAGAAGTGTTATTGCTATCCAGAGAGGAGAGGGAGGGGGAGAGAGAGAGAGATTCTTGTTTATTTTTCTATGGGGTTGTATGTGAAACGAATGACGGCTACGAACATCCTTAATTTTCACTCTCTTCACTACCATAATTTTGTTTGGATGTTAGTTCAATTTTTACTATTGCTTGACACTACAAGAAATATGGGCAAATTCGATATTTAATTTGTACCGTTTAACTTATTTTGGTTTGAAATTTTTTAAATTTTATTGTTTTCTTATTTGAATTTTTTGAACAGAGTGTTTTAGAAATTTTGAGCAGACTGTTTATAGGGAAGCAAATTGTATGACAAATTTTTTTGTGTTGATTTATTAAAAAAAATATCATTAATAAACGGCAGAAACTAGTTGTCAGAAATAATAATTATTTGTGTTTAAATAAACGCCGTAAATTAGCTCCGGTTATCGAAATTTTAAAAGAAACTCGTCGATTAAATAAGCACCGCTTTATTGGATAGGAAATGCCACTTTAATTTTTGTGACGTTTAATTATATGTCGGTAATTCTTTCGACGAAGGTTTCAGCAACGTTAATGACAAATGTCAATAATAATATTTTGTGACATTTATTTATATTTATCGGCGTTTAATAAATGCTGATAAAATATCTTTTTTCTTGCAGTGTGAGGGTAATTTTTTAGAGCAATTTAAATTTAGAAATGCACCGTTGTTGTCATTAAAACAGAATTTTACACACATACCTTTGTGGGATTGAAAAAGAAAAGAATGCATACCTTTTTGCGGCAACTAAATAGATGATGTTTAATATGTGAAATATAGTAAGCTAATTAAACTCGCAATGAACAAAAAATACTACTCTATCTTAGGTTTTGTACATCTTGAAAATTCCAAATTCCTTGGATAGCATTATGAAAATTTCATGCTAACACTGATATGGATGGTTGTTTGTATACCCTTTTTCAAGGGTGAAGAAGTGACATACATAATAATTGTGGCACAACCTTTTAAAGGTGAGATGCCTTGAACACTTTTACACTATGAACTTGCACAACACATTCAAAAACAAAAAGCCCTTGCACAATACAACAATTTTTATCAATCTTAAAGGTTGCTAAATGCAATATGTAAAAAAAGAAAAATTAGGTCACCAATTTCTTGCATTGTTTATTGATTTCATGATAAAAGTCGTATATGCATTCAAAAAATTGGAGAGGAGAATTTAAAACATTTGTTGGTAAGCAAGTGAGAATAGTCATGTGATATGTAACGACAAATTAGAAATGATTTTATAAAAGTTTCTAAATATATATAGACACAAATGACAAATTTTTATTTAAACAGAAGCAAAAATTTATTGTCAACTTGGAAGTCCTTTATTGCCATATGTTTCAAAGGTTTCTCCACAAGTCAAATCTGAATTTGACTTCTCAAAAATTTCTAAATGGTTTACTCAAATGACAAATACTGTTTTAACACAAACAACAATTCACTTCAATCTGGGAAGTCGCTCGATGCCATATGTCAGAAAGGTTTATTCACCAAATTTGAAATTATTTTTCTTCCTCTTTTTGGAGATAAAAGGCTTCAAAAAGATTAAAATGATTATCAAGAATCTGTAGTGTTTGCATGATAAATAAGTGGGGAACGAAATTAATTGTCTGTAATGTAACGACAAATTGAGAATGATTTCTCAAAGGTTGATAATGATTTTTTTTTTCACGCAAACGACAATTTTTACCTTTTTCAGTTTAAATGCAAAATGACAATTTTATCATTTATTCGTTGACCAAATTTTATGGCATATTGTCGGATTCGTGGTAAATTTAATAGTGTTGGATGAAAATTATTACACGAATCTTATAATTTTCCCATGATGTAGAAAACAATGAGCTAGTTTGATTTTATATATGTAGAACAAAACATGACAAATAATTCATAGACGATTGCTAAATGATCAACTTGAACAAGCAACAATCTTTTTTCGGAAAATAAATTGAATTAGCTAGTATTGAAACAAAAAAGGATTCACAATAGAGTACATGTAAAAGCTCCTTAATACAAAATAGAGCTAGGCAAAGTAATTCCTGCTTAGTTGAACCAAAAAAACAAAGAAACAAAAGGTTAATTGCAAGACTTGGAGTTCAACTGGAGGTATAGACCTTGAGCCAGTACTTCCAGCTGAACCTTTTTTCAGTCAATTGAGCCAATTCACACAGAGCACATTAAGCTAAACAAGCTTCTGGCAAATTCCATTGCTGAACAAGGAGAAAATTCTGTTGAGTCCTCTTGAATTTCAATGGAAAGAGCTTTTCTCTGATCATTTGCTTGATGACTTGGGACACTGCATGTGGATCCAAATGCTAGTTCCTAAACACCTTTGCATTCCTTTCTTTCCACATGTGAGACACTGTGGCAGACAAGCACAACTTAAGGATAGTGGCATTCATTCCTTTTCCTTTCCATTGTAGGGTTGCCAACTCAATCATCTCAAGCCATTGTCTCCCACCTTGAATCCATATGTGGAAACCTTGGGGCATCACAAGCTTCCAAACTCTGTTTGAAAATTCACACTCAAATAAGATATGGTTGTGGGATTCATCATTTTTTTTTTTTGCAAAAGACATACAACAGATCCATTTGATTAGATAATCTTTGTAACTTGTCCTTATTACTTATGCGGGTGATTTCTTGTAATGAGTTGGGATAGCGATATGAGTAATTATCCTAAGGAGCGTTGAACCTGAATTAATCCCCTCCAAAACTTAAGTTAGTCGGCATGAGGTTCATGAACATAGTGTATTTTCTCTGTTAGAATTGTGTACCTTGGACCAACTTTTTGAGGGGTATTTATACCTAAGTTCGTAATGATGATAGTGCCTTTAAGTCTCATCCCAGAGCTTAATGGTCTGCACTCATAATTAGGCATACTGAATGCTATCCCATCAAATCTCTTGAAGACTGATCCCCTCGAGCGTGTAGACAATGCTCGGCATAAGCCGAGCCTTCATGGCTCAATCCCCGATTATTAAATACCTCCCCTCAGGATTTCAGACCTATTCCCAAGTGTTCACAACTCGGGAATAAGCACTCTTGGGATTTGCCGAAGATATCAAGTTGGCGTTATAACACTTAATGTCCTATAATGATGATTGTCATCACATTTCTCAAGGACACAAAAGCTCATTAATGACTTTGCCTTAGTCACTCAAGATCTCATTAATGAGTTGTCATCCCTCTTTTAATGCTAGACCCAGAGGGCTCCAGGTCATTACTTCTCGACGCTTTTCCCAGGCGGCCCTTGCGTTTCATAACGGTTGTCTGTTCACTTGTCAATTTGTTGTTGTCAAGTTGCCTAAAGTACCATCAATACTCAACCTCTGCTTGATAGTCAGCCATAGAATGAATGACATTCTAGGAATAACTTGACCATATCAAACTAATTTATGCCATGAAAATTTTGGAGCCAACTAGTCTTGGCGGTTTTCCCAAGTAGACTTGACTGTGAATTTCCCATCAGCACACTAGATCCATTTAACAGAATCTTATCTTGCTTGATTGAGAATGTAGAATGGCATGACATTAATAATATCTTGAACATCCTCAATTATAACTCTGGGCTATCTCCATTGATTATTCTGAATGTTTCTGCTTACCTTTGCTTCTCTTAGGATTCTTGCTTATTGTAGAATCCTAGGAGTGCTTCTTTACAACAATGGGTCAAGTGGGTGCCAATTGTCCAGCCACAAGTAGGTATTTTGTCCATTCCCCGCTATATGAATCATGAAAAGTCTAAACAAATCTCTGAGCTTTAACAGGTTTTTCTAATTCCTAGAACAAATTGGTGTTGCTTTCATTACTGAATCTTCTTGGAACATCATCAGATCCTAATCTCCTAAAGTTCCTTGGTACAGACTAGTCTGGTATGGTCATCTCATACCTAGAATGAGTCTCATTCTATGGTTGGCTATCAGAAATAGATTAAGTACAAAGGATAGGACTTCATCGCATGCGCCACAGGTGGGCATCACTTGCTCTTTGTGTCACCAACTCCCAGAATCTCACCATCATCTGTTCTTTGAGTTCTCCTATGAATTTGGTATTTGGACTCAACTGATGCAACAATGTATCCAGCAACCTCAAGCTCTCCAATGGAAAGACTTCATTGTCTAGACAAGTTTTAATTGGAAAGGAAATCTTTGAAGGTTGTTCTCCTTAAGCTTTACCTCTTTGTTATTGTTTACAACTTATGGAGGGAGAGAAACAATAGGATCTTTAACAATCTGATTACATCCCAGCAAACTTTACTTTTTAGGATTCAGACCTCTATCAAAGAAAGACTCTCTTTGCTAAAGTTCAAGGCTAGCCTTCATAATCTGCTTTTAGTGCATCATTGGAACCTTTCTAACGTTTGCCTTGTTTGAGAGTTTTTGTGTTTTTAGCTACTACCTAGAGATGGAATTAGGGCGGAAGTAAAGGCATTTGCTCTACTGCTGTCTTAGTGCCTGATGGGACTTTTCTGAAATGCTCCATGATGAAGACACGTGTCCTCGGTATTACCAAAACACTGTTGCTAAGATCAAGTACCATCGGTGTACAAAGGTCCTCGCCCCCGAGGTACGGTCATATAGGATCATACATTCAGTATGTTTTACAACCGACACGTGGCCTCGGTCTGATATGGTACCTCGGTCGGCATACCTCCCTCGGTTCCAAGATGAGCCTTTCCTCGGTGCCGAGAGGTACCCCGTCCTGGACGCTTCCTCTACTCCAGGATAAGCTATTGACGTACAGGTCATTAGCCTAGGCTAGTCTAGGCTATTCATCATGACCTCGTCTTACATAATTAGTGTCAGAACGTACTGGAATGCAGGGGTCACAGCCAATAAGGGATGGACGCGTGGCATATGATATCACATCGAAGACAGAGAAACCGCATGCCGTTGCTGACACGCGACTTGGGAAAGCAAACTATTAATTACACCATTCCCTTGATGAGACCGCATTCAATGCGGTAAGGCTCGAAAATGAAAGGCAATAAATGCTCCTAATACAGAGCATTTATTGCATCCTCCCCGAGAGGAGTACATTGTACCGTCGGCATCCCGATGACCCAGCATTGATTGCTCGGGACCCCGAGCAGTTAAGAAGAGAAGACATTCCTCATCAGAATCAGTGCGCACACTGCATGTACCTAATGATCACCTACTGACTACACTGACAGCAATCATGAGATTTTGAGATATAAATACTCCTTGCAAAAGGCAAGACGGGTATGCAACAAAAAACTCTTTACGACAATACTCACTCAGTGTTTTCTCCTTCCTCTCTCTTTCTAAAAGACTGACTAGATCGTCAGAAGGGATACGCCGAAAAATACTCCGGCGCCCTTCTAACTTGTTCTACTTTGTTCCAAGAACCTTCTTTCAGTCTTAGTGGATCATTCTTCCGTTCCCAGGGAATAGAGCCGCGTAGCGCGTAGCATAGCGAATGTTGAAAGCTCTGCGTAGCGTTGGTCACTCAACCGGCTCACTCGAGTTCACCAAGGGAGAGATCTGTTCCCGTTTTTTTTATATTGTGCAGGATCTTGCACGCACAGTGCCTTATTTCGTAGGTGTTGTTTTCCTTTGTGGTGTACAGATCATGGTTTGACTGTTTAAGTTTTGATTTGTACCTCTGCACTTTTTTTGTCTTAATACANTGCCTAAAGTACCATCAATACTCAACCTCTGCTTGATAGTCAGCCATAGAATGAATGACATTCTAGGAATAACTTGACCATATCAAACTAATTTATGCCATGAAAATTTTGGAGCCAACTAGTCTTGGCGGTTTTCCCAAGTAGACTTGACTGTGAATTTCCCATCAGCACACTAGATCCATTTAACAGAATCTTATCTTGCTTGATTGAGAATGTAGAATGGCATGGCATTAATAATATCTTGAACATCCTCAATTATAACTCTGGGCTATCTCCATTGATTATTTTGAATGTTTCTGCTTACCTTTGCTTCTCTTAGGATTCTTGCTTATTGTAGAATCCTAGGAGTGCTTCTTTACAACAATGGGTCAAGTAGGTGCCAATTGTCCAGCCACAAGTAGGTATTTTGTCCATTCCCCGCTATATGAATCATGAAAAGTCTAAACAAATCTCTGAGCTTTAACAGGTTTTTCTAATTCCTAGAACAAATTGGTGTTGCTTTCATTACTGAATCTTCTTGGAACATCATCAGATCCTAATCTCCTAAAGTTCCTTGGTACAGACTAGTCTGGTATGGTCATCTCATACCTAGAATGAGTCTCATTCTATGGTTGGCTATCAGAAATAGATTAAGTACAAAGGATAGGACTTCATCGCATGCGCCACAGGTGGGCATCACTTGCTCTTTGTGTCACCAACTCCCAGAATCTCACCATCATCTGTTCTTTGAGTTCTCCTATGAATTTGGTATTTGGACTCAACTGATGCAACAATGTATCCAGCAACCTCAAGCTCTCCAATGGAAAGACTTCATTGTCTAGACAAGTTTTAATTGGAAAGGAAATCTTTGAAGGTTGTTCTCCTTAAGCTTTACCTCTTTGTTATTGTTTACAACTTATGGAGGGAGAGAAACAATAGGATCTTTAACAATCTGATTACATCCCAGCAAACTTTACTTTTTAGGATTCAGACCTCTATCAAAGAAAGACTCTCTTTGCTAAAGTTCAAGGCTAGCCCTCATAATCTGCTTTTAGTGCATCATTGGAACCTTTCTAACGTTTGCCTTGTTTGAGAGTTTTTGTGTTTTTGCTACTACCTAGAGATGGGATTAGGGCGGAAGTAAAGGCATTTGCTCTACTGCTGTCTTAGTGCCTTATTTCGTAGGTGTTGTTTTCCTTTGTGGTGTACAGATCATGGTTTGACTGTTTAAGTTTTGATTTGTACCTCTGCACTTTTTTTGTCTTAATACAAGTTTACAATTTGAAAAAAAAAAAATTAGCCTTCAATTACCTGCTTCACAGATATAACCAAAAGAAAATAAAGGCATCATTCAAAATAAATCTGGGAGGGTGCTGATGTTAGGAATCAGTAACCCCCACAATTTTATATTCTTTATTATTGGCCAACTATAGAACTTTGAACATTTGCTTATTGGGCTAATTGATGTGCTTCACCACTACATAATGATCATCCATTGAGGATAAATACTTATTTGTTTCCTTATATATTTATCATAGATACTAGTTTTGTGATATTGAAGAAGATTTTGCATTTGATAAGACCTTCTACGAATCATCTTCACAAAAAACATTTGTGTAACCCTTTTAAGCTATTATTATTATAGCCAAATTGAGTGCATTTGCTTCAACAATTTCAGTTTCACCATAAGAGAATGTCATATTCTCTAACCTAACAAAATTGTTGAGTTATGGTGATGATATGGATGAGGTTGGATGCTAAGTTAGGATAAGAGTATTGCTTTGAGTCTATGAGCCTAGTAATCCATCA